ATATTCGTGAAATGTATTGATACTTCCAAATATAGGATCGTATCGAACATCCCTACTGTCAAGATGTATAACCCGAGGTACCGACGGAGCTATTTTGCGGCGTCATGGAAATAATTTTAAATTTTCATTTGCATTTCCAAGTGTATTCAAATAATGTCTAATATAAATATAACCTAGAATGTGTACTCGTGAAAAAAGAAAAATATGATAAATTTGTAGTTTTATTGCAGGTTTTAGGTTTGCTGGTAGCTTTAAGGCATATATTTGGGAATTTCTTAATCGCTGAGAGTATAGTGTGGATGTTTGTTCAGTTCCTGAACAACGAAAAATATTCAACTTTATGGATGTATGGATATCAAAAGACCTGAATGGTTTTGTGGGAATATCAATCTAAGGTGCCATAATGGTTCTGATGAACGGCAAGTAAATGAATGAATCTTTGGAAACGAGCAATATCTATGAACTTTTTGGTAGAGCCTGTCATCAAGTAGGTGCTTAATGGCTATATGCAAGAGGTTTATAGGAAAAAAAAATACGGGAGGTGATGTTAAATCAGTAAAATTGCATATCAATTGAAGAAAATAGTATAAACATGAATATAAAATCAACAATAGTAATTAAAACATGAATTTAATTCAAAAATCAAACATTTCTTTAAATTATGACTGAATTATATGTAATTTCTTAATATCCAATAAGCTGGTGATGTTTCAATGACAAGATGTCATCTTATACTTTGACAGTATTTTTTTTTCAACATTTTATAGCTATTGGTTGCTAAAATTTGTTGATTGGGACTTTAAGCTCATTCGTTGTATTTAACGGACTGTTACCCTATAGGTGGAGAATAACGGACTGTTGATTTGACAACCTTGGTGAAACCCACCCTTAGATTGTTTTCTTTGGAGGTATCTCAAGTCGACAAGAATAACCCGAACACCACTGCCGAGCTTAAACAGGAGATCAGACGCGAAATTACCAACATAGGACCTGATTTGTGCCACAGAGTAGTAGAAAATGTCTCGAACCGGATTACGTCATGCCACATGAGCCGCGGCGGTCATTTACTTGATATCATCTCTCATGCATAATTGTAATGAACCATCCTCAAAAGGCAAATAAATATTTTTTTATAATTTGCAATTTCTTTTTCTTTAAATACTTTTTATATGGAAACTCGATTTGAATCACCCATTACAAGTCGGTCAGGCTCAACGAATTAGGACTAGGTAGAAGGAGAAAGTAAACGATTTGTTTGCCTCCAAAATCATGGAGGAGGTATCTGTGGATTGCATTATTATTATTATTATTATTATTATTATTATTATTATTATTATTATTACACCGGTGAACAAAATTAAAATAATTTTTGTGACATGGTCAAAACGTACCCAAAAAGCAGGAAATAGCATTCGATTTTTTTCTATCACCCACGGTTTTCTTGCAATGTCATTTTATTTGCTGCTTATACTCGTAAAATATAAGGATATGTGTGCAAGAGTACTAATGAACACTCTAATAAACATTAATCTCACAATATTGTTGTCGATATTTTACGGCGATATGCGCCTGAATTATCTCTTAACAGTGTCCAGCAATAATCAGCAAGCAAATTGTCACTCCATTTGCCTTGATACCGTTTTTCCATAGTAGAAATATCTTGGTGGAACCGTTCCCCATGTTCATCACTTACCGCACCCAAATTTTCCTGAGAAAAATCGAGATGAGAATCCAAAAAGTGAATTTTTAGAGACATGTTACATCCCATTCCTTTATAAGCATTAATTAGTTCACTCACAATATATTTATAATTGTCCGCCTTCACATTGACTAAAAAAATTGCAGTAACTGATTTAAAAGCATTCCAAGCTCGTAATTCAGTTCCATTTAGAGAACTGTCAAATACCTACATCATCCTTCATGATTTTCCGTATTTGTGGACCCACAATAATGCCCTTCTTAATTTTTGCCTCACTAAGTGTCGGAAATGTTTGTTTTAAATGCAGAAACCCTTTTCCATTTTGATCCATGGCTTTCAAAAAATTTCATCAGTCTCAACTTAATATACAAAGGTGGAAGCAACACGTTTTTGGGATTAACTGACGTAGTGGCCACTCCTTCTGTTCATAATGACGATCTCGCGCACGACTGTCCCATTCACAAAGAAAACAACAATATTTGGTATATCCCAGTTGCATCCTGGTGGAACTGGGACGGAAAGTCACTATGCCTAACGGGCCGCAAAGCTGATGGTAAATTAAAATACTTAACAGTACGTTTCGATTTTGGTCCAATACCTTTAGTATTTGTGAGGCAAAAATAGCAATCAGTAGTATGGTCTCTCGGTCCTCTATAAAACATTGGTACCGCAAAGGGCATTTTACGATTGTCGCCTCTTAACCAACCTATTAACATGCTTTCAACACAAGGGGAGTAAAAGTACGTTTTTGGGATTAAAAAGTTAGGTCTCCGCACACATAACTAAAACTTTGAGCATTATTTACACAATTTCTAGGCATTGTCCATAAAGCTAGTCTCGATCACAATAACCTAAAAACAACACACCGTTTTAACAAAAATTAACATCTCAGAAAACGTAACTGACTCGGCTGCTATTAGTCTACTAATAAACGCAATATGCTCTCTAAGCACAGAGCTCGCATGTAATAAACAGGAATAGACAGGTCTTAACATTATATATGTGCGTCATCCCATAAACGCGGAGAAATGCAGCAATATGAGATATTGCGTATTGTAATTCATAGAAGTAGATGTTACCGAATATCTGTGGGTGATAGAAAAATTCTGTTTTTAGATTTGATTTAAGGGTCTCAAAATACATAAGATACACACAAAAATTGTTATGTCACAAATCCTGTGTTTATCAGTATTATTATTATTACTAAATAAGTTTAAGCGGAATAGAAGCAAATTGTTTTATCGATACGTGAGACGTAACGAATGGCACAACATGTTTATCGGATTTTTTTCATTTATTTGAACACTAACTAGTTATAATAAATTACAACTAAACTATACTATCGAATTATGTGGAGTGACCCATTTTGCTCTGCCAGACGCAACTTTCTTCGAATGTCTCTCATGAGGTCCTGGACGGAAATCAGATCAATTTCTCTCAGTTTTTCGGAAATTCGCCGTACTAATTGTGGCTTTCCAGCCTCCACGATAAATCTTACTAGGCAGTAAAGCCCAAAAATCCTCTATTGGCCGAGCCTGCGGCAAGTTTGCAGGATTATCGTTTTTGGGAACAAAAGGTATGTTATGTTGGCGAAGCCAGTTTGTGGACATACTGAAGCAATTTGTAAAGGCAATGATCAATATAGCTCTGACTACTCAAAGCTTCATTCCTCACTCTTCCTACAAAAGCTTGGTATACACCCCTGTTAGAAATTGCACACCAGACAAGGCTGTTATCTGCAAATTTCTCTTTATGTATGTATCTAACATTTTCAGGGCATTCATCTACGTTGTCCTAAATAAAATCCTTTGTTTCCCTTCATTTCAGAATTACTCAAAGTGAAATGCTTTTTGTCATCAAAAATAATGATTTTCTGTATGAAATGTTTAAATCCTGGAATATTCGACAGAAATTCAGCTTTGGGTACCCACCCAACCAACTTGTAGATACTTTTTCTTATTTCCAATTTATGCGACATCTTAAAGCGAAAACTTCAACATAAATAAATGTCAACTGACAGTAGAGTAAGTAAACAAACGTTTGTGTCCAAATGCAATTTGATACTATTTTGTGTTTGATAAAATTAAAACCAATGAATTTTGTGTCAAAACTTAGGACATTCGTTACTATAGTCATCGGCATTACGAAATGTCGGTACCTTAACACTGGGCTTTTACCTTGACAGTTGTGAAATAGTTTTAAATTATTTCTTTTCACTTCTTGTTTAATTGAGCACTTAGTCCCAATCTAAGGTTTGTTAACCTATACCTAACAACATTGAATCGCGGTGCGAAACCCGAAAAGTGTTCTACAGTTCCACACTCGCAGATGTTCGCGCCTGCTTCACAGTATAGTTCGCGCTTGAGACGAGTATGGACGGTGAAATTGCTACTGCTGCTGCTGGGCTACTTTGCGCTTTGGCAATTTATAATTACGCCGATATAAGTAAAAGAAAAACAATTAAAAAGAAGTGGAGAAAACGAAGATGGTGGATCACCACCATCCACCGAAATAGAACCATTAATATCAAGATAATAATGGTCGCACGCAGCTCAGTGTCTTATATTTACCTACTGCCATCGCAGATACTAAAAGACAAGTATTTCGCTTTTAGCTGTATAAAATGACAGTTGTGATGAAGGCTTGAAAAGTGAAATATACTGCTCATGCTGCACTCACTTATCATGTACTACAAGGGCTGATACTCGATAACTTGACCTCTACCTTATTTTTAGTCTTTGCTTTTTGTTACAGTGCTGTTATGGAGAAGCAAATAGATGAATTAGTTGCTGAACCTTCCGGTGAATTCAAAAAGTTTTCCCGGATGTCGTTAAATGATTTTGAATACTTACTAAATCAAATTTCATCCCAAATTTCAAAACAAGACAAGATTAAGAAAAGCTATTCCTGCCCAGATACGTCTTGCTATAACATTGCGATACTTAGCCACAAGAGATAGCTATGAAAGCCTTCATTTTTTGTTCAAAATATCACCACAAATAATATCAGATATTATTCCAGAAGTTTGTCTAGCCCTATGTCAGGCATTGAAGGATGGAATAAGAGTAAGTATAGAAGAAAATATTTTTTTAATGAAAATTTGTTTAAGTATATTGAAAACACACGTATGTAATACAATAATCTTAAATCTAACACGACTGGTTATATCTAAAAATATGTGAGTACCGAATACCAGTGGCTAATATAAATATAACATATGCGTCTGACATCAGATCAAAAATATAAATTGATATCAAGATACGGGCAAATTTAGCCGTACATTCAATGTTTTTCATGTGATTTAAGTCAAGTCGAATGCTGTTTGGATTATATTAATTGCCTGATTAGATTCTGGGTTATCGGTGACTTGGTTCGGAATATGGAGGACAGGATATTCAACATCAGGTGTGCGAATCACCTGGTTGGATTGAATCATAATCTTAGGAGGTGGGGCTGATACTGCTTTTCTATTTTGACAATAAGTTTGTTGAGTCATCTGCTCATAACGATTGGTAGGCTCTGAATACGTAGATGATGATGTGCCAGGCCTTGATTCATTAAAGTTGTGGGCGATGCTGGGATATGTTGGCGATGGAGTTTGCACCAATTGGTATCGTAGGTACATGCCGTCAATGTCGTGCATAAACTTTAATCTATTAATTTCAGATAGCTTTCGCAACTTATTTGCCAATAATTTGCCATATAAATCGCAATCATCGCTAAGATGGGTTGATGATTCATTTCTGTTTAGCGCGGATTTGAATGTTACAAGAGCATCTTTAACAATATTTCCAGCCTGAATTAGCTCCGAAGGGTTTTTGGCGTCGGCGGATTGTCTGATTGCCGTCTCTTTGGGTGTCCATAGACTGACTTTGATTTTCATTCGTCTCTTCAAGTATCTCTTCAGTTGGTTCGGAATTTGCTCCTTGAGTCTCCTCCAACCCGCGTTCCTAAAAAAAACATACAATTTCATGAAGGTTATATATATATATACAGGGTGACTTTGAAGTTGAGTCATTAATTTTCAGATAATGATTGTAGAAGGAAGATAAACCAAAATATGTGTGTAAAAATAAAAAAAAAATTAAAAAAAAATTTTACCTTGTTTTATAAAGTATCCTCCCGACAAGTATTTCAGTGCGGACCTGTATTTGATCGTGAGGTCCCCTGTGAGGTCTTAAGTCACCTGATTCACGAGCCCGTTGTACTACATTAACAAAGGCACGAGGGGTTGGTTGCACTCGATTGGGAAACCGATCCGCATAAACATGGGCCATTTTTTATTTCGTTTGAGACACTATTCACATGCGACTGAAACTGACTGTATGTATAACTGAACTGAATTGTAATCGTAAAAACATCGTTCCAAATTCTTTCGCTTTTTTGTTTCCGATGCGATGAACCGTTGTCGCCAAACACGAACACATGATATTATTGAGACAGGGCGGTACTCAAACTTCCAAAGGGCTATAACTTTGTTACTTTAATTTTACCAGAAAAATGGTAAAGGAAAAAAACATTTCTTTTGATCAGATCTACACACTGTTAAAATAAATGACTCAACTTCGAAGTCACCCTGTATATTGAAGAGTTTCTATCACTTTGTGGTGTCAGACGAAGGTTTTATGTTTTCTTTTTTGCAGATACCGTCTTGTCCGGAAGAATGGCTTTGTACTGAGAAAGGATTTGCAAGGAAGTTTCCTCGAGCAATAGGATCAATAGATGGCAAACATATTGTTCTCGACTGTCCGTTCAATTCTGGCTCTGAATACTATAATTATAAAAGAACCTACAGTATAGTATTATTGGCATTAGTTGATAGTCAGTACAACTTCATATTTGCTGACATTGGCTGCCAAGACAGAATAAGTGACGGTGGAGTTTTCACCAATACTTTGTTATGGAACAAGATATGCACGAATAGCTTAAATTTACCACCGCCGCATCCTTTGCCCGGTTCAAATATTGATGTTCCCTACATTTTTTTGGGAGATGGAGCCTTTGCACTTTCAGAACACTTAATGAAGTCCTATCCTGGTCACCACAACATAGGATCAGAAAAACGTGAATTTAACAAGAGATTATCTTCAACTCGAGTGGTGGTGGAAAATACTTTTGGTATGATGACTGCCCGATTTAGAGTGTTTAGAAAGCCGATTCCATTACAACCAGAAATAGCTACCCTTATAACAATGACTTGTATATTACTACATAATTTCTTGAGACGAAGCTCCACTTCTTCGTGTATCTATACACCACCCGGATTTATTGACATTTATGATGATGATTCAGTACTTATACAACCTGGATCATGGAGGAAAGAACAAGAAAAAACTTGTGCTATTCGTAACTTGAGGAACGTAGCTCGGCGATCACCAAAAGATGCCACAGAAATAAGAAACGAATTCACCAAATATCTAAGTAATGTTTAAGTACTTTATTAATAAAACATATAGCTCACTTACCGTGTCAACATTATTTTTACACTTGAGGGTACCTCCCAAAAACTGATCTATAGTTTCATAAGCGAACCAAATAGGCTGATATAAATACCATCGGCACCAGCTCCCGATTGAATAGACTTTTTGACTTTGTTCTTATAACTCCTATAACTTGACATTAAAGAATCTTTTTTCTTTCTCAATTCATCCACTGGGATTTCCATCACTAAGCTTATCCGCATCCATGCATCATGAGTTTTAAATTTATTCCTATAGTCTTTTATCTTAGTGTCCTACAGTACCGGTTCAGCACGAAAATATTCCAAAAATGATAGTTCCAATTGGTTACTCCAGTTAAAACTCATTTTTCACGACAAATCGAAAATTCGTATCCGTAAAGAAAAACACAACCACTGCCGTCACTCGCTATGAGGCAACTGAGCCACCAGCGAATGAGGAGCCTAGTCATGTTCGCAATATGTTCGCGCCTTGCGAACCCTTTGTCGCGGGACGAAAAACCGACAGCAAACGGGAACGACGCGCGAACGCGACGTGAAGCCGCGAAGAATACGCGAATGGGTTCCACACTCATGGGTCGCAGGTAGTTCGCGGCTTCGCGCGGGAGTCTGGAGAGGGTATTAGGAAAGGTGCTTTCGCGTCATAAGAAGTGATATTGCGAACTTATTTTAGTGTCATGGAATTCTATAGAGGAAACTCAGTACGCTCAAAAAAACTATGAATATCAAATTAACTAAAATACTTCCTAATTTCTTTACTGGATAGTGACAATGATATAATAACAGAAATTTCTATATTATGCTCAACTATGCTTTTTGCGCATAATCTTGGATCACAACAACTATTTAGAAAACTGAGTAAAATTCATGCGAGATATTTCGCCAATGTTGCTGTGTTGATGGAGAAAATGTTTCGTATTGTACACCTTTCAAAATCAAACACTAAGCAGAATTGTTTATGTACTGTACCATTAATAAATATTTACTTTCGTTTATTTGCCTCATTTAATGTTTCCCTGTTTTTCAATAATAATTGAGCGATTCACATCGCAACACAGATAGTATCTCTGCCTTGCTTTAGGCGAGTACACCCACTACGAATGGCTACCTGAATATCCTTTCCAGAGAAAATAATATAGTACGCCGATGCATTTGTTTGTCACTTTGGTAGGCAATGGTAGGCAAATTATTCAAAAGTATGCACTAAAAGTACACAATTTTGGCGGCAAACTGAAATGTAAACATATAACACAGCTTTCAACGTCAGTTCGGCTGTAGTACTCAACAAAAAATGGTCAGTCATATCTTGCTTTTCTACAAAGCCGCATGTATTTTCAATGCGATGGTGCTCCATGCCACGTTGCACGATATGTACGTCATTACTTAGACAGTGCCTTTCCTGGGCGTTGGATAGGTACTGTGCCAGAAAATTGATGAAGCACAAATAAAAATTATGGAAAACGCAAATTGATTCCAAAGACTAAACGAGAATTTTATTAGAAGGTGTAGCTTGTATATAGAAAATAATGGAGGCCATTTCGAACATGTTCTTTAAAAGTTAACCAAGCTAAATTATCTTCCCCATTTGTCGGAAAGTCGCCATAAAGAGCGGCTTAACACAGTATGTTCCGTACTTGTGAGTGGTAAGAATTCTATTGCGTTTCTTACGTTTATTGCATCACAACAACGAATGTGACATGATACACATCGTAGCAAGCTGAAATTTTCCGGGTTTATTTTACATGGATTGAAATAGTTTTTACAATAAAATGAAATTTCACAAAATTGCAAATATCTCCTGAACTATAAAATTTGAAACACACATATAGGAGTTCATTCGATAGATTTTGAGGCCCTCTATCACCTAACTTTCGTTGATCCACTACTAAGTTTACAACCTGTATATAGGTGAGAAAATAAAGCCTCCGCCTTTAGTTGGGTACTTCGACAAGATTAAAGCGATGAGGACTCTTCATACTTTATTGGTATCTAGCTTTCGACGGGCTATGCCATCATCTTCAGGAGCTACAATAACATTAGGAAGAAATTCAACTATTATGCAAAATGATTTTCAATTACTTACATTGTATTTAAATTTTACACAATAGTTGCTATTCCTTCCTAATGTTATTGTAGCTCCTGAAGATGATGGCATAGCTCGTCAAAAGTTAGAGACCAATAAAGTATAAGGAGCCCTCATCGCTTTAATCTTATCTAAATACCCAACTAAAGGCGGAAGCTTTATTTTCTCACATAACTGGTTATTAGACGACAATGACCACGTCTCAAGAAATATACAGGGTTTGTCCGGAAAGTAATAAGACTCATTTTCTTCCGCCATGACTGTACTTCGGAGCGTGCGCGCACCGACTGGATTCGGTAGAGGGCGTTCCTAGCTAACGAATTAGCGGCTGATCAGTTGTATCCGAGACTTGGAGAGTCAGGACAGGCATTTTCGCGCGACGTGGTTCTGTGAGTGGTGCAAGCCGAAAATGCAGCGTTCGTTAGAGCAGAGGTACGCGATTAAATTCTGTGTGAAACTCGGTAAATCTGCGACAGAGACGTTTGATAGATAGATAGATAGATAGATACATTTATTGTCTTGTAGATCATAAAAAATGACATAAGACTCGTCCTAAGAGGGAGGTACATGGTACACATAATTAAAAATAAAAACGAAACAAACATAAGTATTTACAAAGTACAAACAGGGACAACTTAATGCGTACAGACATTCACATATAAAAAAAGTTTAAAAAATATATCACAGTGCGAGGTATTCAGACAAAGAATAGAAACATTTTTCAACTAATAATTTGCGTAGTTTACATTTAAAACTAGGAATACTACTGACATTCCTGAGGTTAGCTGAAAGTTTGTTATATATTCTGATGCAGGTGTATTCCGGTGACTTTTCGAACAGCGTCAGTGTGTGTTTTGGAATACTCAGACTCTCACCTGCCCTTGTATTATAATGTGTGTTGATGTTTCTGTTCTGTATAAATTTTGTTTTGTTTGTATGTGCGAAAAGGGCGCACTTATAAATATGAATGCTTGGTAGAGTCATGATGTTTTTACTTCTGAAGATATCTCTGCAGGATTCTCTTCTACGAATGTTGAATATCAGTCTGATTATTCTCTTCTGTTGAACAAATGCTCTAGAAATTGAAGTTGCTTGTCCCCAAATTGTGATGTTCCTTGATAAATGTGAGTGGACGAGAGCATAATATACATCTATTAAAGCTGACTCTGATAAGCAAAACTTGATCTTAAGAATCGCATAATATGATTGGTTCAACTTTTTACACACACTGTCCATGTGTTGTTGCCAACTGAGCTTTGCATCCATTTCTATTCCCAAGAATGTCGTAGTTTTCGATGTCTCATGATTTGCTAGAATAGGGGGCGTTTGTATAAAAATGTACAACATCTGGCTGTTCGAGGTTTAAAATCAAACGATTTGCTTGGCACCACCCTTTCATTTCACATTTTACTCCATTTATTTTTGCAATAATGTCATTGCGTGAGGTTCCACTTACAAGAACTGATGTATCATCCGCATAATTTGTTACAAATCCAGAGAGATGCAAATCACTTATATACAGAATGAATACAAGGGGTGCTAAAACTGAGCCTTGCGCTACTCCAATGTCGATACTGTACGTTGCGGATGTAATTCCGTTAACTTTTGTTTTGAATTTCCTGTCAGACAGGAAAGACACTACCCAATCTAATATAAAACCTCTTAAACCTAAATAAAATAATTTTTCCTCGAGAAGTCCAATGTCAATTGTATCGAAAGCTTTCGATAGATCAAAAAAGATGCCCGCGATACATTTATTCATATCGAGCTGTTTATATATCTGACATACAAACTCATAAGTAGCTGTCTCTATTGAATGAAGTTTCCTAAATCCATGCTGCGAGCTTGGGATAAGGTTGAATTTTTCAGCATATCCCAAAATTCTTGAATAAATCGCTCTTTCGATTATTTTAGAAAAGATTGACAACAATGTTATGGGGCGGTAATTATCAACTTGAGTAGGATCTCCCTTTTTTGGAACGGGAACTATTATCGCAAGCTTCAGGGATTTAGGAAATTTGCCTTGATAGACAGACATGTTAATTAAAGTTGTGAAAGCACCTGCAATTTCATTTAAAACACTTTTAATAACACGAGTAGTTACACCGTCACTACCACACGATTGTTTGTTTGGAAGGTTGGTTATGATTAATTTCACTTCTTCATCGGTGACCTCGGTGTAGAACATTGAATGCGCCACTTGAGTTTTAGCTTCTGCAGCTGGTAGTGGGGATCCTTTGAAGTGGTGTTGGAGCTTACTTACTACTGTGGTTGAAAAATGTTTCCCAAAAGCGTCAGGCACACTAATCTGTCCCATATCTCCACCGTTGTCATTTTTAAGTGAAATTACTCCAGAGTTCTTTTTACGTCCAAGCTCCTGGTTGACTATTTGCCAGATCTTTTTTGTCTTATTATCAGCTGTTTTAATTTCGTTGCAGTTATATTGCTGCTTGGCCATTGAGATCAGTTTGCGATGTTGCTTTTTCCTTTCAGTATACGTTTGCTTCAGATTTATATCTTGGTCGTTCTCTTTTGTAAGTTTGTACAAATTTCGTAGATTGTTGCTCGACTGCTTTAACTCCGGTGTTATCCATGATTTGGGTTTTGTTAAATGTCTGCACGTAATAACTTTCTGAGGCCATGTCCTATCGAAATGCCACAGAAAGGTGTTGAGGAATCTTTCGAAAGCATCATCTATATCGGGCTCTTCAATATTCCAAGATTCTTGAGAGAGACTTAATCGCAGTTCTTCGAGATTACAATCATCAGTTTTCCTTACAGTATAAGATTGGACGGGAGACTTGTTGTTGGAGGCGACAAGGGAAGATAGCGTTAAGATTTGCGCCGCATGGTCGGATATTTGAGGATCTTCTATGGCACATTTCAGATTTTCTGAGTTGATGTTCGTGGTCATGTAATCGATTGTTTTGGACAGGCCAGTGGTTTTATTTGATGCTATGCGGGTTGGTCCGTAACAGTAGTTTGTTAGACCGAAGCACTGTAGGATGTCATTGAGTAGTAGACTATTTATTGACGGTTTACTGTAATCGATATTAAGATCTCCACAAAGAACTATGCTATTACTTGTGGTAGCTATTCGATTTAAGAGTGAAGTCAGGTTCTCCTGGAAAATTGTTATGTCTCCTGAGGGAGGCCGATAGACACATATCACTACGAGTTTTTCATTAGAAGGTCCAAAACTAACCTGCAAGCCGCAGCATTCAATGTGCTTTTCTTGTGAATACTCATCTGAGAATAAGATATCTTTAGCCTCAGCATCGTGACGAACAAATATGGCACATCCACCATGTTTATATCGATTTCTGCAGAAGCTGCTTACAAGTTTGTAGTTCTGAATGTTAGCGACAGCTGCAGCGGTCGTTGTTAGCCATGTTTCGGTGACACAAAGAATATCTGGTGATGCTTCATCTACATACAGTTCTAGGGCGTCATATTTATTCTGGATGCTGCGAACATTTAGATGCACTATTTTTACGTTATGACTCCTTGGCGGATTCCTGATAGAAAATTTGACTGCTGTTCATTAAAAAGTAGCTCTTTTTGTAGCGATGTGGATGGTAAGCTATGTTCCTTAGAGGATTCCAAGTTTTCCTCGGTGTTTAGATTTCCAATCAACTTTGGGAATGATGATTTCGGTGCACTTATATTTTGATGTTCGATTTTCGGATGGTGCATACTTCCTACAGTCCCTATATCCCTATGTGTTCTTGTTCCGTTCTGAATTTCACTTTCTATGGAAGATTCACTTGGTCTCTTTGTGCTTAGCAACAGTTTTATGTTATTGCAAATGATGCGTTTACCCTTATTATTCAGTACATTGGACCTCTCCCTGTAGTAGTGATGTAGATTTGGGTTTAGATTAAGAAGTTGAACTCCGTTTTGTGCACAAATTCGGTGTAGCTGGTCATTTATATCTCTTATAATGTTATTTAAAATGGGCCTATGACCTCTCCATTGCGGTACTGCAGCTATTATTACGTTGGTAGCTTTCAGTACTTTTAAAGTTTCTCTGAGAGGTTCACATTGAATGAAACCTTTTGTCAGCGCATCATTAGAACCGCCCATGATGAGTACATAGTCGGACTTCGTGAAATCAGTTGTTAAATTTCGTGCATCTTTCACAATATTGTTCAGTTGGGAATTGGGATGTAAGATCGATGTAACCGCAAACTGATCCAAAGGAAGAACTCTTCGAAGTATATGTATCAGATTCCGTCCTTGCTCATCTGCGAGGATTAATAGCTTACACCTCTTGTCTTCTGTAGTATTTGCTTCTATAGGATTTGCTTTGATACAGTTTAGGTGATTTTTATCCCTTTTAGGTTGGTTTTGTATCGGTGTTAGTTGTGTCTGAGTTTGTGTGCTATTTGATGTGACTGCTTGAGTCTGTACATGGATACTGTTTTTACTACTTCGGTCCGTCTGCACGTACCGATCAGTAACGACTGTCTTACATTTTACGTTATTTATAATTCCTTCAAGTTGTTCTATAGTCTTATCTTTGTACTTCAGCTCCTGTGTTAGTTTCTCTATCTTGCAGTTTAATGACATTATAGCGCTACTCAGCTCTTCGCCAGCTCGGTAGCTAATTTATTTCTGACATCTAATAGTAAATTTTCGTGAGTGTTTGTATTTTCTTCAACTTGACTGTCGACTTGAATGTGAATGTAGCTATTGTTGTGCGATTTCCTAATCTTCTCAGTTACTGTTTTCTTCAATTTTGCTTGCTGTCGTGTATTCATTTTTCTTTCATTGGAATTGTCACGATTTTTCGGAATACTTGGGAACATGCTTCGTTGCCTGCCGTATGTTTTGAGGTTTTTTTCAATATGATCAAGCAGGCTTACCCAGGTGTTGCTTTAGCAAGAAGTGGTGTGTTTCGGTGGCACCAGGCCTTTTTAGAGGGCCGGGAAGAGGTCGCCGATGAAGACCGTGCTGGAAGACCTTCGACTTTGACAAACACCGATAATGTGACTCGTGTGCGCAAAGTTTTGAACTCAGACCGTCGACCAAGTATTCGTTTAATTGCCCAGATGTTAAATTTACCAAAATCTGTGGTTCATGACATTGTGACACAGCATTTGAGCATGCGCAAGGTGTGCGCGAAGATGGTCCCAAAAGTGCTCACTGACGACCAGAAATTGCGGCGAGTGGAAGTGTGCCAAGAAAATTTGAACATGTGTGAAAGTGACCCCCAATTTTTGAATAACGTAATCACAGGTGACCAGTCGAGACAAAGAGGCAATCTTCCGAGTGGCACACGACGGCGTCTCCTCGCCCAAAAAAGGGAAGAATGAGTAAATCCAAAGTGAAAACGATGCTCATTGTCTTTTTTGACATCAAAGGCATCGTCCACCATGAATTTGTTCCTCCTGGACAAACGCCAAGTTTTACGTGGAAGTGCTCAGGAGACTCAAACGAAGGGTCAGTCGAGTCCGACAAGACATCGCAACCGACTGGAAGTTGCACCACGACAACGCCCCGGCTCACACCGCCTTTCTTGTGAACAGCTACCTGACCAAGGCCGGCATCCCAACGCTACCGCAGCCGCCCTACAGCCCAGATGTGGCCCGCCGAACTTTTTTGTTTCCTCGCCTGAAAAGGCCGATGAAAGGCAAGCATTTTGAGACGACAGAGGGGATCCAAGCAGCATGCACCGCGGCTCTCAAGACTATTCCGGAGAATGCCTTCCGTGACGCCTTCAATGGTTGGAAATCGCGCTGGCAGCGCTGCATCGACGCAGAAGGAGCCTATTTTGAAAGTTTTTGAAGAATTGTAGCGATTGGCTCAATTAATTTTTTTAAATCGACTCAGTCCTATTACTTTCCGGACAAACCCTGTATATATAAATAATCTAATAATCTAATCTCCTGATGAGACACTTTTTTCCACATCTTCAGCATCAGAACGCGGAATATCAGACATGTTATCTTATGTGGCCTAATTTAAATAAATTTCACAGTAAATTGTGTTGATTTCAATTGTTGTAGTTTCTCTTTACCTAGATTTAGATAATAAATATAATCAAAAGTTAAATCCAGTGCATACGAGCCACTGTGTGTATCTTTTTGAAATTCATCAGATAAGAATAGATAGTGTTCTTTGTAACTTACTTTGTGCCTTGTGCTTGGAAAGAAGATTGTGAATGAATAAAAATAACATGCTAGTCGTAGATATCCGTAATTTAATTGAACAAAATTAAGGTATATCAAAAATGGTGGAAAACGATGGTCACTCGGAAGTGGTGTACAAGCCAACAACTAAAGTGAAAGATAAAGTTCTGCTTGAGAATCAAAACAAGCAGAAGGATTCGGCGTTTCTGTACTTTACTGCGACGATAGGTAAGTCATTACAAATAATCAGTCATATACCTCAGCATACCATACACTCAGAAAGGTGGCCAAATGTAAACGAAATCAGGATCAACGTTAACGGAAAAACATAACGTACATTTTCTAAAGAAATAAATTTATTCGGAAAATAAAGTCATTTGCTTAAGATTTGTCATATTGGTATATTTATAAGCTTCTATGTGTTCCAAAGTATTCAAGCAATGATCTACATTTGAATTATTTGGAAATAAAAATGTGTGTATAGCTGATTTAAGTATCGTTTTAAAAATACAAGGAGAAAAACAATTTAAAAAATAACATTTTTTATTAGCAAACATAACCTGTGGGGATACTTAACCCGCAAATATTGTTTACAATAACCACTTGCATAGAGAATACAATACATCAACCCCTTACAATTACAATAGAGAGCCTCCAGTGAATATCCGATTCCCCAATTAGCGAATGTAGATAGAAGTTTTACAAACTGAATGCTTTGAGTTTTAATGAGAAATCATTTTCTCTTCTGTGTTCCTACTTAACTGATATAAAACTCAGTGTAACTTATAATCAAATTGCTTTATTCCTACTTTAGGGGTACCACAAGGCACTCTATTGTGCATACTATTTATCAGTGATTTGTGCGATATCTTAAAGTACGGGAGCTTACTATTTGCGATCGATCACTTGGATATGTTTTCAGAAAACATAACAACATAGAAGACTTTATACGGCTACAGACTCAACTAGTCACTATTGATGAATCGTCTGAAAACAATAGGATGGCTCTTAATCTCGGGAAATATGTAAAGTTGTTACGGATAGCCGGAAACAGAACATAATTTTATACCACTACTGTTTGAACAACATTATTGTTAATAGATTTGGCGATTTTTGTGACTTGGGTGTAACCTTTGACTGCCAACTGAACTTTGATGGTTATATCTTTAACATTATAATGCATTCGAACAAAATGTTAGATTTTATTGTCAGGAATTGTAAGTTGATACCAAATATCCATTCGCTCAAAACACTATACTAGCTCTTGTTCGTTCGAAACCAGAATATGCATCTGTCATGTCAGTATTACCAATGTTACATTAATTGTATAGACTATGTTCAGTAAATATTTGGCTTTTAAGTCTGACTCTATTTCGCCTGCGCGTGGTTGTGATTATCACATGATTTTGATTAATTAGTATCTCGATGTAATATTTTTTTACAAAATCCTTAATGACGGCATTGCCTCATCTACATTGATATCTCAAATTAATCCTTTTGTTCCTAGGCTAAACTCGTGCCTTAATTCTGTGAGCGTGCACAAACAAACTCACTTTCAAATCATCTGGAGTTATGTGTATTCAGTCTAATGCAACTTGTCAAGTATGTGATATCTTCAATTATTGTATTTTGATTACTTTGAAATGTGTACTCCACCAATACCTGGAATAACTTTGATTCTTTTCTTGTTTGTTTTGCTTCTTTTCGTTAAGTTATTTATGCATTACTTTAGGTGTTAATGACATATGATACTTTTTGTAATGTTTTTCCTGTTGGGCAATAAAATTCTATTATATAATATTTTCACAACTAAAAAGCATCAAATATTCTGAATAAGACTTCCAGAGATTTTCACTCGCCAGGTATATTCTAATCGAAGCGCTTCTTCGAAAATCTTAAAGGATGGAACAGTTTTATAACAAAAAAAGACCCCTTGGATGCTTGAACCGTGCTTATGAAAAATCCTGAAGGTATTCTCTTTGAGGACGTTAATATTCCGGATGTTTCAAATCCAACTCTCACCATTCAGGTAACTAAGAAAATTACGCATAGAAATGTTAGTATTTCACAAAATATCTAAAGACAAACGAAAAAAAACGAATTTTTTCAAAATCGTCTATAATTTTTCCTGACTTAAGTTGGGGTAAACTGCACATAGCATTTCTGCTCTTTCTCCTTTACAGGGTGGCATAATTAGAATTTCTATGACGTTTCGTTCCTTGTCCTCAATCAACAACATTATTTTTTCTTATGAATGTCATATAAGATTTTTACAGAGGTGGAAAAATTAATTTATTATACATAATTAATCCATTAACAATGGAACCATAAGGCCAACGTATAGCGGATCAGCGGTGCAACGCTTTTATGCTGAATAGCAGTAACCGGGGCTTTGACAGTTCGCAACACTAATCAACATACTATTAAATTATACACCGAAGTGCATCCGCAACCAAAATGACGAAACTACCCCGTGGCTACTACTATTCAGTTTAAAAGCGCTACATCGCTATTCCGCTCTACGTTGGCTGAAAGCTCCCATTGAAGAAATACAATTATTAAAAAACATAATTTTTATGTATGCCTTGAGATTATCAGATAGTTATTTGTTTCATAATATCATCAGCCAGGCACTCTTTTACTTGTTGTCAACTGAGCATAGGTAAACTGTCGCTACTTCCGATTACAGTGATGCGATGTGGCACATAACTCGGTTTCAAAACAAACGCAACAAGCAAAAATTTAGTCAAATCCAGACCATTGCGCTCTGATTGGCAACTGTAGTCACGCCACAGAGCGATTCAAAGTTGGAATAATGGAAGATCATTTTGACTTACTCGGTACAACAAATCAAACAGTAGCTACAATCAAGGACACATACCTACATATCAAAGCCCATGACTGTACCTACCATCTGCCGAAAAAAATCAATGAAATCGAGTTAACGGGGCTCCTACAATCACGAGCACCATCTGCTGAGGTAACGGGGGGTGAAAAGGAAACGATTGTGGGCTGGTCTTAGACGGTGGTCGGCGCTACTATAAAAGAGGGAGGATGACTGCGGGTGCCTACCCAGGTAAATTTTTATAATAACAGAGTCGGATTTCGATTAGCGATCTAGCCTGTAAATCGTTTCCTATTCTGGTACTCAGCTAGTGATCATTTAGTACTGTTCTACCCTTGTTACTGTTAGTCGATATTGTGTATATTGTGTTGTTGAATTGTTGTGTTGTACTCTTGTTGGTGTGATTGTTCTTGAGTGAATCTTTTTTCAAGGTTAATGGACAATAAAAGGTCATATGCGACAATTTTAGTTACGAATTCAGTGAGTTTAATTCATAATGAGGACAATAATAGTGTGGAGCAGTTCAACTCTATAATCGCAAAATACATTGGGGTAAGCGACTAAATTATTGCAAGAAGAGGTCATACCATGGAAGATGTGCTGCAGCTGTAGTGAGCCACAATACCGAGGGGCCTATCTATGTGGTCCAAATACATTTGCGTCCTAAGCTTAATCCAACCTCGCTTATCACCAAGATGGAACAAATACTCAAACGCAAGAATCTTGGAAAGAAACTCAGACCAAAAAAAATTGATATAAAACGATGAACGACATTGATTTGGAGGTTGCTAAGCAAGAATTTTAGGGAAACTTAGAAAAAGTGACGACGAGATTTTGCATATCGAACAAGTCACCAAATCACAGGACTGTGCTTTGTGGCGTCTTCATCGGAGGATAAGGTTGATGGCGTCTCGATTTGGTGAAGTTTGTAGAAGAAGGCAGACAACCGCGTGTGGAAATTTCATAAAAATCCGAGCGGTAATTTCCAAGTTGATGATAAGTGATACAGTTTTTCGTGATGTAGATGTCATATGACTAAAAAAACATAACATCTCATTTTAGAAATTTTTCGCGATCACAATACTTCCTCGCCAATGACGTGGGAAGTAAAACGGCTTTAAAATCGAGGAGTATCAGCGATCGCGATTATGAGTACCTATTAGCAGAATGACTTATCTACGCGATATTATATGAAATAGGGCCACCAAATTATCTGAATACGTCCTTTCTTAGTCCGTACATTGCGCCGCAATGCTTGGAACCCATGAAACGTCAAAAACGGAGTTTCAGCAATTGTTTCTTTTTTGCCTATAGCACCGTTGCCACTGGACTAAAACTACAAAACTTTGGCACACTGGTAACCGCGTGTGGAAATTTCATAAAAATCCGAGCGGTAATTTCCAAGTTGATGATAAGTGATACAGTTTTTCGTGATGTAGATGTCATATGACTAAAAAAACATAACATCTCATTTTAGAAATTTTTCGCGATCACAATACTTCCTCGCCAATGACGTGGGAAGTAAAACGGCTTTAAAATCGAGGAGTATCAGCGATCGCGATTATGAGTACCTATTAGCAGAATGACTTATCTACGCGATATTATATGAAATAGGGCCACCAAATTATCTGAATACGTCCTTTCTTAGTCCGTACATTGCGCCGCAATGCTTGGTTTGGCAGCACGAAACAGTAGACAAAATTCGTTCAAAATACGATTTGTACAGGTTTGCGCGCTTCAAAATTGATGCTTTATTTTTTGATATTTTTGCATGAAATTTTCACAGAGTGCTGAAAACAAAACCCCACAGGGTGCTATAGAGCCACTTTTTCATTTTTTTCACTAGGTTCTTTTTAAAAAATAAAAGAAAAAGTGCGCACTTCAACCCATCATAAAACTTGTGCAAAAACAAAATTTCAAAAAGTGCTCCTACAGCACCCTGGGCAATTATCTTCTCAACATACTGTATGAATTTCATTCAAAAATATAGAAAAATGGAGTGTCAGTTTTGAAGCAGCTGAACCCTTGTAAATGGCTTGAAACTCACTGCGTCGGAGCCTCCTTAAAAGTAAAACAGTTATGACGTTCCGAATTTGACCACATTTATGTTTGTTGAATGTACATGTCATGATTGATATTACGAATGTTAAAAAACTGATGAAAACATTTTAGAGTCACTAAAAGCCTTGCCGATGTGGCAAGTTGCTAAATACGTTTCATATCCGTCATATCTGTACCGACGCACACATCTGGCATCGAAAGAATACTAATTTGCAACTGAGATATGTAAAAATACTATGGCGTGCTTGAGTAATGCAAAATATCTGAATACAGTTTAGAGATGCTTCTCAAAATGAATAAATATCCTATAGGTTGTCATTTTGAAGGCAAAATATTAGTTTTCTTGAAATAACTGAGATTTGGAAATGTCTATGAATGACATATGACACATTTTTGGAATCAGAAGTAAAAACTATATTTACTCGAGCGGAGAAAGTGAGGAAATGTTGGTGGGAAATTCGGATTTTCTTCTTGTATACCTCCGGAAATAAACTGAATTGCGGAAGTACCACTTTCTGTGTTACTCAAATGCCCACTTTGCCCCCATACAACCTGACTCTATAACACCTCCTTTACTTTTTCTTGAGCTGTAAAATTAAAATGTCGATCGGAAAGCTCAGCTTAGTCGTAGAAAACCTCCACAAAAATTTTAGAGTATAGAGTAATCATTCAACTTTATTTTTTGTAGTGTCTTTGGTATCATCATCAGGGCTTTGCTCCTACATCTGGATGTCTCCGGCCCTAGCAGTGCTGAAGTTAGACGATCAGAACCTCAACCCAATAGGAAGACCAGTAACTCCATTCGAAGAGTCAATCATTGGTGGAATATGGCTTATTGGATCCATCGCAGGCAATCTGATGTTGGGCAAACTTCCTGACATCTTCGGTAGAAAGAAGATCATGATACTCATTTCTATACTGATGATCATAGGATATTCTGTGCTAGCTTTCAGCAGCACTATTTATATCATATACATAGCTAGGTTGATAACAGGTATCGCGTTCGGAATGTATCTTCCTTTACTTTCAGTTTACTTATTCGAAATTTCTGAATCTCATAACAGGGGCAAGTTTGGAAGTTTTATATGCCTCTTCCTTACACTATCTAGTGGATATGTCTTTCTCTTGGCTACATTTTTCTCCTTGAAAGTATTTACCTTTTTATGCGCACTACCTGCTGCATTATGTTTGTTATGTTTTCTTTTTGTTCCCGAAACACCAATGCACTTGGTCTCCAAGGGAGATAGAAAAGGAGCTACGAAAGCTTTAAGGAAACTTAGGGGAAGAGATGATGTCCGAAAAGAAGTAGAAGAGATAGAATCTCTGTTGAACGAATGCAGTAGAGGCAAAAATAAGACAATATTAGAAGCTTTAAGAACACCTGGATTGAAAAGAGCTTTATTTCTCGCAGTTTCTGTTAATAGTTTACAACAACTGATTGGCCAAACAGCTATTTTGGGATACCTCACTTCTATCTTTGTCAGTGCTGGTATTTCACCTGACTTTGCCTCTATCATATCATGTTTGGTCCAACTCCCTAGTACCATAATCGCTGCAATGTTAGTTGACAAACTAGGTAGAAGAGTATTACTGTTAATCTCTCTCACCACATATGGCACGGCCATTGTTTTGCTTGGTGTGTATTTCTACTTGAAGCATCTAAACTTTGACTTTGGAAGCTTCTCATGGTTACCAGTAGCGAGTGTTATATTAATGTTCATAGGTTATTGTATTGGCATGGGGGTAATACCTATAATACTGGCTAGTGAAGTGCTACCTAATGATATCAAGTCTGTTGGAATGTCCATCACTGTTTTTTGTGCAGGAGTCTTTGCATCAGTAACAGTATTTGGATTCCCGATAGTTATGGAGTATTTGGGATTGTATTGGTGTTTCTGGATATGCGGTATTGTTAGTTTCTTAGCAGCCATATTCGTTTATTACTGTGTTCCTGAAACCAAAGGAAAAAGTGTAGCTGAAATACAAAAAATGTTGAATAGTTGACAAATGCAGCAAAAATAGATTTTGGATTCCAGATTGAGAATTAAAGTAAATAAAACAAATGAACAAATAGTAATAGGAAGATTTCGTTCTATACCCCTTTTCTTTAGTTTTTTTATACTTGAGCCACCACGAAGTCCTGAGGTCTAAATACTCGTCGGAACAGTGGCGATAGTTATATCGGGGATATTGCCTTTTGTGATAGATAAGGTCATAAGGTTAAGCGGGAGACCATCACATATCTTCTGAATAATTAAATAATAAGTTTGAACTTATTGTTCCATTTCTTGTCAATGACTAAACATAATTTAGCTTTATCAATAGACCAGTAAATGGTATAAATTGAAATTCTTACCTTACATTTTAAAGACCTCATATGTGAAATTTACCTATTCAAATTTCTGTAGAATGGTAAAGACGGAATACGCTGTTCGACAAATCTGAAATCAAATAAACGTAAGTAAGTATAGAATGCGTAATCTTTTTCGTAATGATGTAGCTGCGAAGGCAGAGTCTAAAGCTAGAGATCCGCTACTTCTGGAAAGAAATTTAGCTGTATGGAGCTCAAATGGTACTTCGATAGTTCCTTACTACCATTACATGGATTATGAAAAAGATGATACTTGATACAAATATCGAAACTGATTTGTGCGCAGTACCATAAGCTAACAAAAAGTGGGTTCTATGTGCTTATTATGGTATACAGGGTGTCCTAGTAGTCGTCATCAAGCCAGCAACTGGAGATAGGCCAAGTCACAATAGCTATCACAAAAATATTAAAAAAAGTCGTGTACTTTTACAAATTATAGGCCTTTAAAACATTTGACAAATTTACACCCTGTGGTCATCTTTTGGTTTGCCCATTACTGCAAGTTTCAACTTTTTCTTAGACGGAGTGTGTGTGTGCGTGTGCGAGTGTGTGTGTGTGTGTGTGTGGGGGTGTGTGTTTCTATTCTACGTTGTGACAGCAAGACAGATAAGAACTCCACTTTTCATGAATTCGTGAATATATTTATTAGATTCACTATAGATGTTCAAACTTTTCCTTCCATGAGCAGCAATGCAAGCTTAACATCTTATCGGATGAGCGAATTTTCCGTTATTAACAAATTCATTTGTTTCCATTATTTTGTCCCGTAGCTTAGCTAAATATTCGATTGGCTTTCAGCAAACTTTTTCTTTCAGCGCTCTCCAGTAAAAATTAACGAGTAGATTTAAGTCAGGTGAACGGAATGGCCACGAAATTGTATCAGACCGCCCTACATATCGGGTATTCCGCATCAATCTACTCTCTAACTGAACGGGCATAGTACTCCGGACCGCCGTCTTGTTGGTACCACATGTCTAAGTAAATGCTTAGTGGCACGCCTTCCAATAAATTTGGTAAATGCTAATCTAAATAAATTTCGCCATTCAAGAACTCTGGCAGCTCAAGGGGTACAATGATTCTCCCATTTAGAATCCCGGTCCACATGTACTTTAAAACGATGCTACGATCTATTTTATCTCATCAAATGTCGCCTTTCTACATGTCATTCGTGTAAGTTGTGTAAATTCATTTAACCGTCTTTTCCAGAAGTCGACTCATCAATTTATAAAATTGTCTCTAAACATCGCGGATCTTCCCGGTGTCTCTGTAACATTGACAAAACTTAATTCTTGGAAGATAATCCCGGAGTTGTAGAGATTGGTGCGAGTGGAGCACGTTCTTTCGCAAGATTCGGTGGGCTGTTCTTTTGGACACTCCCGTGCTTGCATCTATTTGACGCACTGAAGTACTCGGGTCTTCTTCGACTGCTTGTAGTGCGACGTAGTAGTTAGGAAAGGAAATTCTTCCTTCACCATGTGTTTGATTTGGGAATCGTACCTCTGAGAGTAAATGTGCGAATTCACAAAAACTCGGTGATCGGGATGACGAGCAGCATTTGGGTATCTCTCACGATAAACCCTGCAGCACAAGCATTGCATCTGCATTCCCCATAAATGGGTTGCATCTTGACTTATTCCTGTATGGTGTACACAGACATGGTGGCACTACACAATCATAAATTAATAAAAATGGAGTTACTATCTGTTTTGCTGTCCGTCACTTCGTCTAAAAAGAAACTGAAATTTGTAGTAATGAAAACTAAAGATCATCATAGGGTATAGATTTTTCCGACTTTTTAGAGCATAGAATTTGAAAAGTAACGACTAAGATATTTTTTTTTATATTTTTCTGATAACTATTATGACGTGGCCTATCCCCTGTTTCCGGCTTCACCTCGACTTCTGGGACACCTTGTATATTTTCAGAAGCACTTTTCTTAAAGAAGGAAGGTAAAACTCTTTTCCGAAATAATCAAAGTAACTGACTTGTAAGACTTTTTAGAGCTCATTTTCCTTAAATATGAAATTTGTCTCAACTGTGCAAATATCATATTGAACACATTCTATAATCCTATTCTACTTAGTTCGCAATACTTGGCAGAGCTCGGAGCCAGTTTCATAATATCTAATTAACTTTTGATTTGAAGTTACTGTACTCTTTGTAAACACATACGACCCCTAATTTCATAATATAATGTTCATACCGATACAAAAATAGGAATTGCCATAGTGAACAGTCCACCCGCCAATCTTATAGTCAAAGGTTTTTTAGTGAACTGCATGAACAGGACAATAGTTTTCTGCATATGTGAATTGGTTCCAATCCATTTTGAATCAAAAATTGCGTTAGTCACGTCAGCACTCTGCAAAAAAATGTTTGATTCAAGAGTAATCGTGGTGTTTTTAGCTGCAACACAATATTGAATACTTCTACTTACTCTGTAAATGATATCGTTTCCGAACCAGCAGTGGACAAATATGATCACAATGATACCAAAGGTGTATATAGGCAGAAACATTAATTCGCTGAAATCCAGCTAGGAACAAAAAATACTTCAGTATGGCTAAGTATGTTATATATATTATAAATAAATATAGATAGAATTCTAAATGCTTCACACTATCGAAAGGTTTATGAAACTCACTAAGAAGTGTAGTTGAAGTTGTTCAGACCTAAGTACAATCATCAAACCTTCTAGAACGATCGCAGAACAATTTTAAATTGACAGCTGAGTGCAAAAGTCTGCGAAAAGCTCAGTTTGCATATCTCGCTAGTTTCATATGCGAACTTACCTCCGTTTCCATGATTCTGAACAGTGTTGTGCAAAATAACAATATTCCAGTTAAGAAATGAATGGACATTCCGATACGTAAGATATGTTGCACATTATCAACAAGCCTGAAAAGAAATCAATAACAGTTCAATTTAACCCGTGAGAATCTTCTGAACTGTTACACCCGCAGAGGCCATGGCCATGAAGCCGAACCTCAGACGTGAATGCCCATCATCGCTGATAAAAGCATAGCGAGGCTACAATGTTCTAAAACATTTATATACGGGACTAATTCCACCATGGATTTCAAATATTTACCAGCAACAAACTAACTTAGTTTTGTATTCTCTTGGTTGGTGCTCGCACCATTCATGCTGTTTGATGTTTGTTTTTGTCTTGTCCTTCAGAGTGAGCAAAAAACCAAGGATGCCTAATTAACTATTTTACATCTTCATCATCATTTATACCAACAAACTGTACATACTTGATATTTAAAACCTACCTCTCTATTTGTTCGTGTCTCTTGATACACTCAAATACAACATCAATATCATCCGATTCTCTCAAAATGTCTTTCAGTATCTCAATTTGTATGCTGATTTCTATCATTAAATTAACATCCAAGCTAATGTAGTTACAAGCAGCAAACCCAGAATATGCTGTCATAATTTCTTGGAAGATCTGAACACCGATATGACCTAAGGCTGGTGGAATATAGCTTGCGAAGAATGGTTCCCTGTCATTCCTTAATAGCTTCATCATAGCTTGAATCAGTAGTATTGACAAAAGTGAACAGTAGTAATATGTTCTTATCAAGTCGCCGGGTTTCTTTAATCTCTTAGCCACCAGGATGTGTCTCTGCTCTTTCAGTTGAAGTAGTTGGGAATTTAATTGATGTATGATAGAATGCAATCTATCAGTATTCAGATATATGCACGTTGTAACCAATTGAATATTGAATATACTTATGTATATAAAGAGAACTGATGTTACGTCACCGATACTGATGATATTCCTCTTCTGGTATACCAGCATATACCCAAGCAGTTGAAACATAGACATGCCAAGCCAAACGATACATCGGTATGCTTTGTAGAACAAAGAATTATACATAGAACTTTTATTTTCGCTTTTCCAAAAGCCCAAAACTTTCATTGCACGAATTTCGGGCGAGAACAAGCACAGTAAATCAAAGTCGTTGGTATAAGACATTTTCTGAGAAACTGCCTCTTACGTGCATCTCCTCGTGCATTTTATTCAATTCAATGGATGAATAGACACAGTGAACAATTCCTGTTGTAGTATGAGTAATTATGGTCCTAGATTGACTGAAACCTTAGTATTAGAGGGTGGAACTACAAAGTTAGACCTTCAGTTCAATCTCAACTCATACCAGAATAGCAATAGTAATTTCGAACACAATTAACACGGATCTTAAGCAAGTGTGTCAAGTATTGGCTACTAGATTCGCGTTATTAACGTAGCAATTGATACGCGTTTGTACTACTTGATATGCCATAGACATACAATGGAGATTAAAATAAAGTAGACTAATCCCGCAGCTCCACTCATATGGAAGTAGTGTGAAGTATAGGTCACTCGTTTACATTAGTCTGAAGGAAATTGGTTTCGAAAAAGGAATTGCAGTATTCAGGCTAATGCAATAGGTTACACTGCCAATTAACATTTTTTTAACATTTGAATGCAGCAATAAATTAATTTGTTTATATCCTCGACAAGAAATTAGGAGCTTACTTCAAAATTTACATAATCTTAAAATGACAATGAAGGTCACATAGTCAGGTTAATTGGCTAGGATATACTTGAACTTAATATGCTCTGCTATTTTCATACGAGAAATTAAAAATAGACGTTTCCCATTAATAACTCATTGGATCTTCAAATGACTTTGATGGTCATACTCAAGATCATGGGCATACTTGATCATAACGTTATGTTTATATTTCCGGTGTCAAAAATAGGGGCCTTCATTTAAGAAAACTGCATTGACCTTCAAATGAGCTTAGAGGTCATAGTCAAGGTCATGTCCAAGGTCCCCATTAGATGAGATATTTGGTCTGCTCCCTACTTTATAGACACCCTCCAATATCCATGAAGATTGTGGTCAAGGTCATAGACAAGGACAAACTTTTACGTAAGATTCCCAGCTCTTTACATTTCCGGTGTCAAAAATAGGCATTTCATTTAACAAAACTATCTTGACCTCCAAAAGACCTTGAAAGACGTGGTCATGGTCACGTTTAAGATCACCATTAGATGAACCCCAATATTTTGATCTACTCATACTTCTTGAATACTCGGTATATCT